AGAAAAAAGATTGCATAGGCTGAGATTGGCGTTCCGTACTTAACAGGTAGGGCTAGGCAAGAAGAAGGATCGAAAGACACTCTAGACTGCTCGTACTTGTTTTATCCGTTATCGGTCCGGTTGATAAATCACTTTACTTGACGGTATCATTACGTCATATATTGATAAGGGTACAGGACCTCAAGTTATAACAATTTGATAGATTACAGATAATTATGCTTATATGGTAATTACTCTATTAAATAAGGCTGTTTTATAATGGTTAATCATTTTCGTTACTATAACTGCCTATATTCAATATCATGTATTTTTGGTAGAACACGGAATTCTCAACACAAAGTATTTCCATAAGTTTCCGATTTCTTATTCCTTGATCGATTTTGACGATAACATATTGGGTGATTACCAGTTAGAAATTAGCAGTCCAATCAATCGACATCTAATTAATGTACAATCTTTTTGCTGCATATTGTCGACCAGCCATGATGTCTTTGATTAGACCCCTTTGTAACTTGTACAATGAAAGGTCGTACACTTCTGAGAAACTCATCAGAATAGGTTATGCGATGAATAGCCAATAATGATGTGTATTAAAACAAACAAGGAAACAGATAACTTGTTGAAATATCTAGATCAATGTTAGTAACAGGTAGCTCAGATGTTTGAACAAGCCGCCAGTTTCCAAGGAAATTAGATTTACTCAGATATAAGAAAGTAATACTTGAAAAAGTTTACAATTCAGCTTAGAGTAATCTCCATCATCATCTTCTTTCTTAATTGATTACTATTCGATGTGATTATGATTTATAGACGATCTTCGAGAGATCCTAAACGGACCTTGGGAATATCCACTTACTTATTAAGGCTAAATGACGGTTATAAAACAGTATAAGGAATTGGAATTATCATTTACTGTCGATGGTTGAGATTAAGAATTACATTTAAGGTTTTCATTACAAATTGACATTGGTCGCGCGATTTCGTAGATTGGTTGATGTTAGACATTATCACCATTGGATGCCGGCTCAGTGGTCCAGTAGGTTAAGCGTTCGCACGCAAGACCGAAGACCCTGGGTTCTAGTCCCGCGAGCGTGATCGTGGATGTGCACTGCTGAGGAGTCCCACAATAGGACGAAAGGGCAGTCTAGTGCTTCCAGGTTTCCAAAGGTCGTCTAACATCAATCGGTTCATGATCTCAATCAAAAATTTTATAATCTCCACAACCGCTATACAAGTAATTAGCTTAAATGTCAAGACGCTATTTAGACAAATGGACGAGTGAATTTCGCTTCAAAATCAAAGATCTGTTATTTTATACCGGATTAGTTTGTCCATATAGTGTAGTCCCGTCGAAGAAACATATTTTCGGGAGTATAAACTTGAATAAATTATCCGGTATCTAACCTGTAGTTACAAATCTCATTCAATCTACTTCAGTTTATGGAACTCATTAGTGACTGAATGTCCAGTAAATGAATTTATATATGGCTAAGTAGATAGATAATAGAATAGTAGAATACTTACAAAAGTTCAACAGTATAATTTAACACTCACTTTATGATTTAATGTTTATATTCATGCTCCCCGATGTAAATTCAACCGAAAAGATCTACGAAGATGTTAAGATCAACGAAAACTTACATATTTGAAACACCTTGACAATGTACATTCAAGTTAACTTCCATCTTCTCATTAGTTAATTTTTTTTATTCAGAAGGGATTTTTGTGGAAATTATAATGATTTTATTAGTTGAAATCATGAGTCAAGTAAAGCTAGACTATCATGGAAAATTTGGAATCATTGAGATGCCGTTTCGTCCCATTGTAGGACTCCTCAGTGGCAGTGCGCTACCACGATCCCGATTCTAGAGATTCGAACCTAGGACCTGTCAATTTCATAATCATTAAAACAACCAGACTATTATGCAATACTATACGAATACAATAAGGATAACATTAATCATCGAAATATCTAGACCTATGATAACCTATGAAAATGATTTCATTTAAACATAATGTTCTTGTATGTTCTTATAAAGTTCAATATACAATTTAAGAGATAAGTCGGTGAGACTAACATTTATGAATGAATCAATCAGATTTAAGGTAACAGGTCATGAGTTTTGGCGCAAAATTCATTCATTCATTCATTTGGTTAAATAGAGTTTTGATATTTTAGCTAATGTCAGTTCGTGATGAAAACTTTAAATGTAATTCCTAACCTTAACCATCAATTGTGAATTATAGTCCTTATTCTTCAAACTGCTTCATAATCTTTATTTAACTCAAGTAAGTTCATTAATATTCTCAAGGTGAATTTAGAGTCACTCAGATATCTTCTATAAACTATAGTCTCACCGATATGTACTGATATATGAATACGGTGACAGTGGCGGTCTCACTAACTCGAATAGATCTCCAATCACTAGACACAGATCATCTACCTTGGTGATCTACGATACAAATTAAACCAATTAATATTTTTTAATGTATTCATGGGTTAACAAGTAGAGGTTTACGTAAACAGCTTTGAACAATTTTGTTTGTCTATGATCTAATTATACCAATTAACTAGCCAAATTGACGTTAGTAGAACAGAAACAAAATTTGTTACTTAGTGGTTGAAATCCAAGTTCTAGATAGTAGACACAATTTTGTGATGATCATAATAATAATGTTCGTAATGATTTTCAAAGGTAATTTACTGCGGACATTTTCTAGATCAGTCATTACGCACTACCATATCATGATTCTTTGTAAAAGTATACAAGAAATACTTCACACAATCGAAAATGACAATTTTTACTGTCAGAATGAGTTTTGTGGAGATTTTAGTAAATTTCACAGATTGAAATCATGAGTCAGTTGAAGCTAGACCACCAATGAAAACCCGGAAGCATTGGACGGCCGTTTCGTCCCAGTATGAGACTCCTCAGCATTGCGCGTCCACGAACCCGCCCCCTGCGAGAATTGAACCCAGGACCTACTGGCTTCGCGCGCGAGCACTTAACCAATAGACCACTGAGCCGGCCGGCATTTAATGGTGTTAATGTCGAACTTCAACCAATCCACGAAGTTGCGCCACCATATACCATTGTCTTCAGTGAGCTGATATCTCATAACAGACCTGGTTGAACTCTACTGGTGACGGCTTCTCACTAGAACTCCAGGAGGTTCTCCTGAAGTCAGTCACTAGTGAGCAGTTGATTATTATCAGAATGTTTTGTGGAGATTCCAGTAAATTTCACAGGTTGAAATCATGAGTCAATTGAAGCTAGACCACCATTGAAAACCTGGAAGCACCGTTGAACGCCGGCTCAGTGGTCTAATGGTTAAGTGCTCGCGCGCGAAGCCAGTAGGCCCTGGGTTCGAATCCCGCAGAGGGCGGGTTCGTTGACGCGCACTGCTGAGGAGTCCCATACTGGGACGAAACGGCCGTCCAGTGCTTCCAGGTTTTCAATGGTGGTCTAGCTTCAACTGACTCATGATTTCAACCTGTGGAATTTTTACTGTGTTAACTTGTACTGGACTTACATACTGAACTGCTCTCATATTCTGAACGGTCACATTTGTGAATTGATAAAGAACGATTGTTATTATTTTAATATTAATATAGTGAGATATATGATATATTATGCACACACCAGTCAGACTCAAGATCAATAGAATCATTCCATAGTTCATTCGGCGAGGGGGCGGAAATTTGGACAGCTTACTTCTTTTTGAAGTATTTACTAACGATGTTGTCAAGACATGGAATCCATGTTACATGACTTAACTGTTCATTTTAGAGAACATAATAATCCTAAAATCTTTCTGTTCAGTTATAAATATTCTCTATTTCATCAATGTAATGGCTGTATTATGATGTAAATATGACTTTGTTACAAATATTTTGTAGAATGTAGAAAATATCTTACTGATAAAAAGTTTTAATTAATGGATTTAAACTGAATATCCTGTACAAATTTTAAAGTATTTCAAACAAAGATGGACAGTGGCTAACAGTGGGAACCATCGACCTAAATCTCAGAGTTGATGATCACTCGGTGACTCGAACCCAATACCGTTTGCTTCAAACACCATCGCGTTATCTAATTAGCTACTAATCAATTGTAGTCCGAAATAACAATGGGAAGATACATATAAAACAACATCAAGTGAATTGAAAATTTTTTAATGTAGTTCAAAACTCAAAACATTTTCCAATCAGTGACAGAGATCAGAATATTCGGATCTTTCAATGAACTTGTAGTGAGGCGTCGAGTCGCGGTTGACTATGATCACCACTAAAGGAAGACTATGTGCCAGTTAACCTATAAGATCTCCCGTAAGCCAAATATCAGAAGGCAGTTGATGGCCGTAGTCGAGATGTATTTTTTAGAGATCTCGTGGTATCGAAAGAATACCGAGATCGTGCCAAAGCAGTACAAGTGTGGTTACTGAGCGTAACCGAATCCATGCAAGGTCACAATCAACGGAAGAATGTCATCCTACAGTTACTAAATTGATTATGATTAATACAATGAAGTTTTAAATTCACTTGATGTTGTTTTAATTGTATCTTCTCATTGTTATTTAGGACTACAGTTGATCAGTCTCTTGTTGGTATATTTGCATTCTATGTGAATTGCCTTGATATAGCCTTAAGTCACAACCTTTATTTTAAGCAAAGATAGATAGTGGCTAGCAGTGAAATTCAGGACTCAGTAGCTATGTAGATAACGGGATGGCATCTGAAGCGAATGATACTGGGTCCGAGTCCCAGAATGAACATCAACTCTGAGATACAGGTACATCCAGCGGACGAGTTCTATAATAGGACGAAACGTGCGTCAAACTGAATTTCACTCTTAGCTACTATCCATATTTGCTTAACATAATGAAGTGTTAAATAGTTCCTCTCTTTTTTCAGATTATTTCGTCCTTTTTTCTAAAAACAGATGTGTCAGTATTATTATGTAACTTCTGTTGTTGTTGTTGTTGTTGTTAACATTTAGGGTACTCCAATTGATTATCAATCAAAACGTTGGACCGATTTTAAAAGAGCTGTCAGATGGTCAGAATATCCGTCATCATTTTCACCAGAAGTGAAACGTCATTATTTATATGAACAACGACCATATTACAATGATATTCTAGTTTAACTAATCAATCTCTATTGATTTATCCATTTGATCAACAAATGAAGAAACGATCATTGCAGATCAATTAATTGGTTAATAATTATAATAATAATCATAAATTTCATACAGAATATTCGTATTTTATCTTAAAGCTTATAATAATTGAAGTTAGATCACCATGGAAAACCTTGAAGCTTTGGACAACCGTTTTTGGTCGTAGTATGAGACTCCACGGTAGTGCTTGCATGAAATCAACAAGTCTTGAGTTCGAATCTCTTCAGTGGAATCGTAGATATGCACTGCTGAGGAATCCCATACTACGGCGAAATGTCTGTCTAGTGTTTTCAGGTTTTTCATGGTGGTCTATTTTCATTGAACTCATCAATTCAACTATTAAATTAAGAAAGTCTTCATAAAATCGCCTTCTGATAATAAAAACAGTTTTGATCAAAATCACATCAACGTTTATGTGCTATGGATATTAGTACTATTTTGGTGAATGAAAACACAAGTGGGGACAATCGAATGTGTTCGAACACACAATTACAGAACATCTTAGTAAAATCTGAGAACTTTATTGTTCCTACATTTCCATACTAATCGCTTTCTGTTCCCATTCTTTCCTCGTCGATCTTCTTGACCTTCTGTTGCCAGACATTCTATTCCTGACTAGAGTTATATACTACTTATGTCAATATAAGTAGAACACGTCACGAATTGAGCAGATTAATTTCAACTTGAATAACAAACCTGTGATCAAATAGTTGGAAAAATTGTTATTAGTGTTACATCTTATGACCTTGTAACCCGATTAATATGTATATATGACGTAATGATACCGTCAATGAGAGAATAGTGGCTTATCGACCGGACCAATGACGACGTATATAACAAGTATGAGCAGTTTAGAATCTTCAACGATCCTTTTTTCTGCCTAGCTTTGACTGTCTATTACGTTCAGGACACTAATCTCAACCTCCGAGATATGAATCATGCTATTTCAAACATACTAGGTTTATATACAAACCAAAACAGAACACGTCGTACCACATAACATAGAAAACAACGTTTGTACAAGATTTAGCCAAATGTGACTGTGAATGTAGAAGATAGTAATTGATAGACTGGGTATAACTCAAGAATGGCAAATCGTATAATAATACTAATCCATAGATCAAAATAAAGCTTATAATCGGAGGTGTATAGATATCATGTGGTCAATGAATTGACCGATACTGGTCGTTATTTCCAATTTCAACTCATTTCCTATATAGAACAGTTAATAACTAGATTAAACGTTTCATTCCGGATATAACTAACATTCATCAGCCATTACCTTTTACTAGAATGTTGAAAATCTCGCTTGAAATCGATCATTAGTAAACTTGCGATTAATATTTAATTAAGTAGTTTGTAGAGATTAACTAAAATTGATCTCCTGTCATGAAATGATATCTATTGGGGAACTAGTGAAAATTACAGAGCATTAGACGGATAATTCCGTTGTTAAGGCTTTATAGTTTCAACTAAAAGGAATAATGATAAAACTGTAAGTTATGTACGACCTTTGGGCGATGTCACATTGACGTTCATAATTTCCACGTACCTACTGGGTGTGGAATCAAGATTAAGATTTACAGTTGTATGTTAGGATTACGTATTAGGTTTAGTGTTTTTATCACTAAATGACATGAGCTGTAATGCCAAAATGTCATTGATCCAAGTGGATGAATGAATATCGCGCCAAAATTCAAGATCTATTACCTTAAATCTGATTGGCTCGTTCATAAATTATAGTCTCGCCAGATTGATTAAAGGAAAAGTAAACATTTCTGTATGCTAGTGATTCAAGTGGTGCCAGATATTCAACCACAAAGATTCAAGATTTCAAGTTAATAATGAAAGAAAACTAGATAAATGTTTTGAAAGTCATCGTCAGAACATCGTAGACCTAGAATTTGTCCTAATTAACACTCAATAACAAGATGTACTTAATATCTCAAGGGAATTGATACTTTCTGTTGCATTCGAATCCTAATCACTCAGTTTCAGTATAGGACGGTACCATTGAGATATTCGATAAGAGACTGATATTTTGCAAGAGTGATATCGGTTAAAACGTGATTGATAGAATTCAATTACTAAATATAAGAGAAACATCACATTGGCCAATACTCAACATTCAAGTAACATGAAACCAACTATATTTATAATAAACGATCATTCAATTCATGATTCAAGTGATCTAAGAAAAAACAAAGAATATTTATAAGCAAAGATGGATAGTGACTAGCAGTGGAATCCAGTTTGATGCGCGTTTCATCTTATTTGGGACTCGTCAGTAGAATGTACCTGAATCCCAGAGTTAATGTTCACTCTGACATTCGAACCCAGTAACGTTCGCTTCAGATGCCATCGCGTTATCCACTTAGCTTGTAAATTAAAGCAATGTCGAAGCAATACACACAGTATGCACATATGCCAATAAGAGACTGATCAATTTCAGTCCTAAATATCAATGGGAAGATTCAAGTAAAACAATACCAAATGAATATAAACTTAACCCCATTGTACAAGCAAGTGGCTATCAGGACTCAATAGCTAAGTGTATAATGCGATGGTGTTTGAAGCAAACGGTACTAGGTTTGAATCCCAGAGTGAACATCAACTCAAATCGAGGTACATCCAGCTGACGAATCCCAGGTAGGATGAAACCCGAGTCCTGGATTCCGCTGCTAGCCACTATCCGTCTATGCCTATATGCTGATTTTTCGTTAACATATCTGTTCGACTTGATAAATTTAATAACATCTTATGTACTAATTACATAATGCACAAAGTTCATCTAATTGGCGTTTCAATGGTATTCTACATCTTAGAAGGATGCTTATTTTAAGTAAAATGATAAATAAACTGAAAATAATGAGGAAACTTTAAATCATCATCATCATCCAAATCGTCATCAAAAGCATCAACATCATTATCATCAGCAGCAGCACCAGCATCCAAAGCATCATCATCAACCAAATCCTCATCCTAACCCTTAAACATCAACTGTAAATCATAATTCCAATTCATCATACTGCTTTATAATTGTCATTTGCTCTTAGTTATCAGGTAGACACTATCAAAGATCGACTACCGACAACAAAATAAACTTTCATTTGAAAATTTATGTTTACACTTTAGTTTCTCAGTTTTCCCTCACCCAGTACATTCAATTATTCACTGTGGATAGTTTTACACTTTCAATATAATGTCTCTGATTAAAAGAATGTTCTCCTGTAAAGACTTGATTGTAGTCTGTTTTATGAACATTATTCTCTTTAAGATTAGATCATATTGCAGACTGACTTTAACTTAGCAAAGGTAGGAAACACTAAATAGATGTATCGTCTCAGTTCGCGACTTCACATGAACGAATCAATCAAGTATAAGATAACACTTCTCAGATTTTGGCGCGAAATTCATTCATCCATTCGGATAAATAAGGCTTTGACATTATAGCTGATGTCCGTTCATGATGACCACCCCCCCCTTCAAATCTAAATCCTAACCTTAAACATCAACTATAAATCACAATTCTAATTCCTTACACAGGTTCATAGACTTCATTTAGTGGACACTCTCAACATCAGTCTAGCATCGCTCAAAGATTGTCCATAACTTATAGTCTCATCAACACATCTAATTAATTTATTTAGATAATTCTATTATGATCAGAAGGGGTTTTGTGGAGATTTTAGAAATTTCACTGGTTGAAATCAAGAGTCAATTGAAGCTAGACCACCATGGAAAACCTGGAAGCACTGGACGGCCGTTTCGTCACCATTGAATGCTGACTCAGTGGTCTAGTGGTTAAGTGCTCACGCGCAAAACCAATAGGTCTTAAGTTCGTATCTTGCAGGGGGCGAGGTTGTTGATGCGCACTGCTGAGGAGTCCCACAATAAGACGAAACGGCCGTCCAGTGCTTTCAGGTTTTCCATGGTGGTGTAGCTTCAATCGACTCATGATTTCAACCAGTGAAAATTCTATTATGATTTATAATTTCATTAGTTATCAAGCATGATGATGACATTTATAGAAAACATACAATCTCATTAGTCAATATTAATTGATAATGAGTAGTATCGTATGAAATGATAGAAAATGCATTGTTGAATGGTATTACATAATCAACTGATTATACAATAATGATATTATTATCATTATTACATAACTCTTTCATTGATCATAATCACTATGTAGTACGATAATGACTAATTCAATTTAGGCTAAAATGACATTCTCTTCCTAACCAGACATAAATATGTCTCCGTTTCGTTTTTTTTCTTCTTCTTCTTCTTCTTCTTTTAAACAAAATATATTTCGGTTGAGATCATGAATTAATTGATGTTAGACCACCGTTGGAAACCTGGAAGCACTGGACGGCCGTTTCGTCTTAGTATGGGACTCCTCAGCAGTGCGCATCCACGACCCCGGACCCCGCAGGATTCGAACCTAGGACCTACTGACTTCGCGCTTGAGCACTTAACCATTAGACCACTGAGCGGGCACCCAATGGTGTTAGTGTTTAACATCAACCAATCCACGAAACTGCGCGACCACCTTCCATTGTACTGAGGTAGATACCTGTCTCTACCCGACACGGATTGGCTCCACTGGTCACGACTTCTCACTAGAACTCCGAGAATTCCCTCACGAAGCCAGTCACTAGTGAGCACATGTTAATTATCAGTATCTCCACAACCCCCATACTGAAAATATATTTCAATGGTTAAGATCATGAGTCAATTGAAGGTAGACCATCACCATGGAAAACTTGGAAGCACTGGGCTGCCATTTCTATTCAATTACTACTACTTGTCTAAAATGTTTCATAGTAGTATAGATAATGAACAAAAATATAAAATTGTAACAAAATATATTACAATGACATCAATGAACTAAAAACAACGTCATTGTCATCATTAAAGCAGTTCATTACATTTTAAGACTAAACAAAAGAATCATACATAGTTGAAATGAATACGTTACTTCAATACATTTTATGGTCTATAATAATTATTATTAGCTTATATATAGTATCTATGTAAAGATATAGAATGTTACATTAAGTTAAGGGTGACG